AGATCCAGGAGAGTCTGGGGAAACTGAGGGAATCCTGAAATATGAATATTTCCAGTGAAATTAACCCTTATTGAACAGAATGTTATTTCTGATTTTGTTGAAAAGGATGTAATGGAGCATAATTTTGGGTATTTGCTCTAAAGTTTGAATTCTTTCTTGAATACTTATCACAATGTGATATTTCAGCTTTTCTCTTTTAATAAATTTGCAAAAATGTTCTACATTTCTGTTTTTTTCTGTCAAGATGGGGTGCTGAGTGTGAATTAATAAGAAATAAAATGAACTTTATTGATTTTGGCAAATGGCTGCAATGAAACAAAGAGTGAAAAATGTAAAGTGGTCTGAATACTTTCCGTACCTACTGTAATAATATACACATTTACCACATGCTAAGCAAGTTTCCAAATTTGAGACTCATTAAAAACATAACTGAGCACAAGGCAGGATAACTGGGAGAATATTCCCTAAGTGCTGAATATTGAGTTGAAAAATCATTTAGTGGAGTCAAATTAAGGTAATAAGTTGCTTCAAAGTTACAGTTTTACAGCATTGCTTTAAGATGTTGTTTAGGAGAGCGGGGTTAGGGAGGCCTCAGGAATTTCAATAAGAAGAAATAAAATAAACAGAAAAAAAGAAGCCAATATTTTAGATTATATTATCTTTAAATATACTTTGTAATAATATATCTTCTTACTATGTGAAGGGAATTAACTAAAACAATGAGGCTTTTCTAACCATAAGTCAAAGAAAAGCCTTATTCATCGAGTAGTAACCTACTTTGTGTAAGCCTGGCTTTTTAATGATTAAGGTGCTAAAAAAACAAAACAATATGGAGCCCATAGACTTTAAGCCAAAGCTTCCATTCTTATTATCATGTTTACTGAAAAGTTTGTTATTCATTGAAAAAATAGGAGTCCTGACAATATTATAGATTCTTATGTTGTTGTAAAAAAAAAAAGAAAAAAAAATGGAGAGTGAAAAGAATAAGCAAAATACGCAACAAGTGGATATTTTTTTATTTTGTCTGAAGCAA